GTTTAAATGTAACAATATATTAATAAAGTCTCGTTAGTCTTCGATCCAGAGCACACTCTCAGAAGCAGACGGCAAAAAGAATAGTATATTGCGTACGAGTTTGCAAAGGCTTTAATTTACGAAGAGAGAGGTTTACAACACGAGCCGAAGGCGAGGGCCGTAACGAGGTTCGTAAAGAAGCCTTTCCGAATGAGTTTTGTATACTATTCTTCCGCCTGAAAACCCAAAATCAAGCGGCGAAGGTGCAATTTTAAGGTTAGAAGGCGGAAAAGATAGTTACGTGAAATAAGACATGATCATTGTGATTTCTATTATTAAAACGTTTATGAAATATGGGTGTAAGAAAGTGCTGTGTTGTTCAGTGTAACAGTAGCGCAAAAACAGATGGAGTAAAATTACATAAATTTCAGTGATTATCTAACTGTAAATAAAGGTAATTTTCATGTGCATTAAAACTAAGACATTTTAAAAATAATCTGAATGAAACGTACATGCAGGTTAACTTTATAGGAAGCTGAAGTTACCGACGTCTACCTTATTACGACGGCACTTGTCAAATTGCCAACTCGATCACTTTGAAATTCTGTAACATCGCACACATGACTACTTTCAACCAACTGTTTACCTTTTTTTAAGGCTTTAGAGTTAAAACAAATCGAGTGTGTGATATTCCTAAAGCCTGTTTTTATGATAACATCCATTATCAGATAAATAAATATACTAATTTTTTTCTAATTAATTGATTATAACTAAAAGTGTGCATCGGGGTATGCTGTTGACGTATAATGTGGGTACCCGCGGTTGCATGATTTTGACACCAAGTGTGGCGCTGCATGACATGCACCTGGCCAATTAGAATGGAGCACGCACTGCACGCAAGTGGTATGTCAGATGTCAGCCTGGAAGTGGCAGTGAGATCAGCGTAGAGAGAGAGAGCTGCACGTAAGAGGAATCGTGTCCTTGTCTAGCCGAGCGCTGTGATTAGTCGACTCTATAGACATATAAAAAATAGACTACTCGTTCTTATGTATGGCGCTGTAGCACAAGTAGAAAGAGACACAATATCGAACATGTACCTCTGTCTCTCTCTCACGTACGTTGCCAACCAGTGCTCCCGAAAGTGGCCTCCGAAGTAGCGCGAAATTTAACTTGGCTTTATGGAGCAAAACGCAAAAACCCACATAACTCAACAGGATTTCTAACATAATAAATAAATAAACCCACAGCTATTAAGCCCAATGACCCAATGCTAGTTAACCCAGTAACACGGAACGCCTACTGGCCACTTTTAAATTTAATGCTTTAAATAATAACAAAAGCGCCAATCACCACACAACCCGGAGCGCTTACTCGCCAATTTGTTTATTGATTGAATAAATAAATTAACACAAGCGCCATTCACCATACAACCCAGATTGCTTACTGGCCGCTTTGTTTGTTAATTAAATAAATGAAATAACAAAAGTGCCAATCACTACACAACGCAGAGCACTTACTGGCCGCTTTGTTAATCAATGACTTTGAATTCATTATATTATTCAACAAAGTGGCCAGTAAGCGCACTGGGTTGTGTGGTGATTGGCGATTGTGTTATTTTATTTATTCAATTAATAAACAAAGCGGCCAGTAAGCAATCTGGGTTGTATGGTGAATGGCGCTTTTGTTATTTTTTTTTATTGTATCAATTAACAAAGCGGCCAGTAACCGCTCTAGATTGTGTGGTGATTGGTGCTTGTGTTATTTTATTCATTTAATTAATTAAGGTGGCTCCAGTGGCCTCAATGTTAAAATTATAAATAACCCAACCGAGGTTAATGAAATTGAATTATATTCTTTGAATTTCCATCTTTCTATTCGTATAAAAAAAAATTAAGGTTGACGATGAAAATTGTAAGAAATCATGCTTACAAAATCGTAGTTTTAGGACGGGTTAGATAGGAGATGCAAGCTTACGCGATATACAACCTACTGCTGCACTTATATAAATAACCCGTAAGGTGTAAAAAATATACTATCTTGTATATATTATTACGCAGATTTCGATGACATGAGAAAAGTGTCTTGTTATCGAACAAAATCTTTAAATAATCGGAGACTAAGTATACAGTTACGAGTGCAAGTCAGCTCTCAGCTGTCTGCATTCTGCAGAGTACATATATACAGGTATAACTACTCTTGAACTTAGGAGCGTACCGTAACAGTTCATCAATTAGGGCACCATAAAACTTTTTTGTTTTTTTATATTAACTCACTAAAGTAACAGATAAAATGTAAAATATGGCTTACAACAGTCTCTACGATAATTTTATACCATATTTTAAAGAAAATAATGATTAATTTTTAGTCTCCCCATTTTGATACGGCACTAGGCGCTGGAGCCACGTTAACAAAGTGACCAGTAAGCGCCCCGGGTGGTGTGGTGATCGGTGCTTGTGTTATTTTATTTATTTATTTAATAAACAATGCGGCCAGTAAGCGCACCGAGTTGTGAGGGGATTGGCGCTTGCGTTATTTTATTTATCATATTAATTAACAAAGTGGCCAGTAAGCGCTCTGCGTTGTGTGGTGATTGGCGCTTATGTTATTTTATTTAATTATTTAGTAAACAAAGCGGCCAGTAAGCGCCCTGGGTTGTGTGATGTCTGGCGCTTTTGTTATTATTTAAAGTATTAAATTTAAAAGTGGCCAGTAGGCGTTTTGATGCCACTTTCGGGAGCACTGTTGCCAGCGGTTGGGAGATGGGAGGTTGCAGCCTTGTGAAGTTGGCACCCGCAAATATTAAATAATGATATTTTGCACCCATTCAGGGCTTAAATGATTCCTCCTTACTCGCAGATTCTTTTGTGTAGGTATATCATTACATTTAATACAATTATCATAAGACCATGTGCCTGATTTACCATGCGTGCTATACAGATTATGGAGTTTATCGGCCGTGCAGGGTGCAGATAAGGGAGAATTAAATTACGGTCACATATATTTAACCCAAACACAGAAATATATAATGTTTCAAACAGTTTTGGTTAGGTTTTCTAGGGCAGCCTACGATGGACCCTTAATTCACCCCATGACGCGCCTAATGGGGCACCAACTAGGGGGCCTAAAGGGGACCTCATTAACGAAGGTGGCAAACCCGTTAAATTTCTGATCGTGGATAACTACTACTATATACACTGTCAAGCAGCAGCCAATCAATGCAGAGAGTAGAGAGAGATGCAAGACCAAAACAGTCGTCTTTCTTTGTCTACTGACGATTCCACTTACAGAGAATATTCGAAGTGTTAAGCGACTAGTAGCGCTGCCCTGAGGGTTCGATTTGGAACTATATGTTTCCCCAAAGTATGCGTTTAAACCGTCGCGGTAGTACTGATGAGTTTTTATTTTTTTAATCATATTTCAGTGGACTTCATACACAAACATACTAATTTTACTACTTTGGACGATTGTGCCTCGATAGCACAGTAAAAAATGTAGTTGGCGTTGGCCTCATTTTCCCCTTCCACGTATTTGCGTGAACCTTCACCCACATAATCCATTTAATCGGTTAAGGAAATAAAAAAACTCATTTTCTACGTCGTTGCTACCGCGACGATTTGAACGCATACTTTGGGGAAACATATGTGGCCCCACCGTCCAAAGACACGGGGAACAAACGAAATCGACGCAAGCAACAGCTAGTCCCACGTCAAGTCTTCGCAGCAGCACCACCGTGCAGTGCTGCCACAACCGCTCACTCCGACTACTACGATTCTCTCAGCCACCTAAGTGTGGCGTACTAGCGTGGTCTCAGCAGTAACGCACCATCCTCTACACGAGACACACGCGCTTCTAGTCAGCAACACAATACTTGTACATTGTTGCTTGTACATTGAGACTCATAAAGGTTCCTATTCTTGTAATTGCACAGGCGAGTCATCATTTCTCGCCCTGCCAACTCCTCCGGCCTCCTCAACTAAGGATAGCTTCCCAGCTATAGTTCCAAACATTTAGTTCCAAATCGAACCCTCAGGGCAGCGCTACTAGTCGCTTAACACTTCGAATACAGTTCGCTTCCTCTATCATATTATCTCTATGTGTCTTTGTCCCTCTCACGCAACTACACGATAGTTATTAACTTTGGAAAGCTGACATACATAAACTGTACGTCTAGGATTCTTGAGACTTGGTATTTAGTTTATTTATAATATCCATTATAACACATCGTTTTTTTTAAAGGATTGATCGTTTTGTTTAGGAGTTATGAATGATTTCGTTTCGAATCCTACCCCAAACCAGGCGCTTTCCTATCTCTCACCTGTTAAAAGATCAACAGTAAAACTTTAATATTTTTGATACTACACGGCCAGGCATCTCCAAATTTGGACTCGTGATGAACTCATGAACTATAGCAAACTTAAGCCACACGCAAAATTTTAGAAAAATTTATCGTCTAGTCGTTTTACTGAACTACTTATATACCTTAAGAATGTTAAGATATGTTTTGACCACCTTCGGACTTCAGGGATGCATTCTGTAAGCACTGGTCGTTTTATATGAGTATTCAGATCATGTGTAGACAACTTATTAGTGTGATAGAGATTACATGTCATACTTTTCCCCTTGCACTTTAATGTCATCTAGGATACCGAGATACTTGAAGATTAACTGCTAGAGCTAGCTTATGGAACGCACCCCGGGCCCCGGGCCTCAGCTCTTGGTCTATGACGCTTGAAGCAGTGTTTCTTTCTACTCGTGCTATAGGCAAGAACGAGCAGTCTATATTTCTTATATGTCTATGCAGACTAGTCATTTCAAATTTATATGCGTATATTTGCTATTGAACTCAACGGCAGTAACAACAAATTTTTCTTTAAGTTAAGCTCTTTGTATATAATCTCAATTAAATCATAATCATAAAATGTACTATGATGTACTTTTTTGTACAATGCTTTCAAAAGAATCACTTTTTTTTGTTTGACGTAAATATTGTTCTTATTTAATATTTTGTATTCGTACTCAATGAAAAAATATAAAAAATGAATAGCATATTACTGGATTATAATTATTAATCGATGTATTATAAGAAAATGTTTAACTTACACTTTGTTGTCACTGGAAAAAGTAAGTGACATTTCTCTTGACAGGTGAATCGTGTATTATATGGTATGAAATTAATATTAACTTTTCTTTCATTGATTTCCAAGTATAAATTAAAACGTTTATTCTCTAACATTCATATTCTTGACGTTAGTATACAATATCTGTATTTACAAAAAATCAATTCTTTCATTGTGTAGGTGGAATAAAATATTAAAGATTAACATTTATCTTCAAGTAACCAAAATACTGTTAGTATTTCATTGATTTTCCCTTATCTCTCATTTCACGAACTTATTAGTGTCAAAAAAATGAGTTGAATTTTTGCCGATGTGGTTAGTGACCCTTATGAAAACAAAAAGTTCTTAGATGATAAGTTTTTTTTAGTACATCAAATAAAATCAATTATTTTTATTTTTTTGCAGAGCAGTAATAAAGTGCATTTCATAGTTTTAGTTTTAAAATGATTATGAACAACAATTACTACTACTATATGGGCACACTAACTTGTGCAAACTAACATAGACCAATCATATCCAACTTATATAAAAAAATGTAAATGCCTATAGTAGCATAGTTAGTATACCCAGTTAATAAATGTATTTCAAGAGGAGACTGCTAATTTAGGTATTGTTGCTAGAGCACAAATAAAAATAAACTCAGTATGTGAATATCTCTTACTACGTGTGCATATTCAGTATGCAAGAAAGACCCTAGGACTTTAGCATTAATATCTATCTTTCTTATACATAAGGAAGTACATGGTACAAAAGAGATGATTAAATATCCTATTGCAGCTCTTTATCTCTTTTACTAGAGCTTTAGCAGCAAATTCTGAATGCGCTGTCTACTCTTACCACACCCTATCTCAAGTTGTGACGTCAATCTTGACGTCATTTGTGACATCGCCAAATACGTCATTCATGACGTCATAAATGACACCATATTGACGTCAACTAAAACTGGGGGGTTCAAGTATTTTTTATAATGAAAAAAAAATTTTCTCAAGTAGGGAAAAAACTTTCTAAATTCAAAAACTTTCTGAATCCCTCTGTTTTGGTGTTACCATCCTGATGGTAGTCTCTATAAGGAGATCAAATGCTTTCAAACATCCCTTTGTTAAACAACAACCTATGTAAATGACGTCTTTTGAGACGTCATGAAGTACGTCTTTTGTGACGTCGTAAGTGACGTCATATTGACGTCAATGTGATGTCATTCACGACATCATGAATGACGTATTTTTCGATGTCACAAATGACGTTCTGATCGACGTCATAACTTAAGATAGGGCATGCTTATGACTCGTATGGTGAAAGAAATTTTTAAACTATGAGATGAATTGTGCTATCCAAGCAAAACTGATGTGTCTCTTTATGGTCAAGTAAAATAAATACAATTTTAACCAAGGATTAGATGCATGGAAGGCTATACCCATCACTTTATCTAATAGGAGTGTGCCGCTAGTAATTTTCTTATACTTGGGTTACATTAAGTTGCCCCCATGCGTGTCTACATATTTTTTCCAACTTTTTAAATGTTGGAGTATAATCTGGAGTTTTTTATTTACTATTCAGATGAAATTCGATTTTAATATATTACTATTTCTTGCAGGTTTTCAGGTGATTGGCATATGTAATAAGCACTTGCCAATAATTAGCTGATTGTTACATGGTGGCTGCCACAGTTGTTTGGATATGAGGGAGGGGGGCTGATACCTGCACTGATAAGGTTTCATACCTCTTGAAAAAAAAAATCATTTAAAATGATTCATAAAAAAAATGTTATTTATTACATATGAAGTAATAAGTATAAATAATTATACAAATTATGTAAAACAAGAGTAATTGTATTATCATTTTTCATATTTAACTTTAGTGTTTTATGGATGATGAATATCAGTTAATAATTCTCAACATTTATGAAATCTTTTAATTATCTAATAAAATTATGAATAGAATTGAAAATGCATTTTATTATGAGAATGTAAATCGTACACGTAAATAAAAGAAAATCGTCCTTAAGTGTGGCTTGATCACAGACACGTCCTCCGACTTATTGAACAGTCGTTCTAATTTTACTTTCGAGGGTGAAAGGGGGGGGGGCGAAAATGCTAAAAAAATTACATCGCCATAAGTCTTAAACGTGCATCTCGTAAGTGAACAAATCTAGCTGAAATAACGGGGTTTTTGAATGTTTGTGCCTTAAGTCTGAACAAAAGTTTTCTTTCTGGGGGTACAAAGTCATACATCGTGCCCGTGGGCACACTTTGCTTGTGCTTGCAACTTTCCCGCCTTTATGCCTTTGGACTCAAAGTTAGGCTGCGTATGAGGCAGTGCTCCCGAAAGTGGCATCCAAAGTAGCGTGAAACTCAAATTGGCTGTATGGAGCAAAACGCAAAAACCCTCATAACTCAACACAATTTCTAACACAATAAATAAATGAACCCCAAGCTATTAAACCCAAAAACCCAATGCTAATTAATCCAGTAACACGGAACGCCTACTGGCCACTTTTAAATTTAATGCTTTAAATAATAACAAAAGCGCCAATCACCACACAACCCGGAGCGCTTACTGGCCGCTTTGTTAATTGATATAATCAATAAAAAAACAAAAGCGCCAATCACCACACAACCCGGAGCGCTTACTGGCCGCTTTGTTAATTGATATAATAAATAAAATAACAAAAGCGCCAATCACCACACAACCTGGCGCGCTTACTGGCCGATTTGTTTATTAATTGAATAAATAAAATAACAAAAGCGCCAATCCCCTCACAGCCCGATGCGCTTACTGGCCACTTTGTTTATTAATTACATAAATAAAACAACACAAGCACCGATCACCACACAACCCGGGACGCTTACTAACTGCTTTGTTTATTAATAAAATAAATAAAATAATACAAAGGCCAATTACTAGGCTACCTGGGGCCCTTACTAGTCGCTTTGTTAATTAATAACTTTGAATTCATTATATTATTCAACAAAGTGGCCAGTAAGCGCCCCGGGTTGTGTGGGGATTGGCGCTTGTGTTATTTTATTTATTATATTAATGAACAAAGTGGCCAGTAAGCGTCCCGGGTTGTGTGGTGATCGGTGCTTGTGTTGTTTTATTTATGTAATTAATAAACGAAGCGGCCAGTAAGCGCTCCGGGTTGTGTGGTGATCGGTGCTTGTGTTGTTTTATTTATTTAATTAATAAACAAAGCGGCCAGTAAGCGCTCCGGGTTGTGTGGTGATCGGTGCTTGTGTTGTTTTATTTATTTAATTAATAAACAAA